ACATACACGTGCACCATGACAGACAGACAGAAGCAGAAACATACACGTGCACCATGACAGACAGACAGAAGCAGAAACATACACGTGCACCATGATTTCATGAGCTGAGTAGAAGGAAGCCAATGTGGGGTAGGTTAACCTCTCTGAGCCTTGCTTTTCTCATCTGTACAATGGACAAGAATAGTACTTTCCCTCTCTTCCAGAAGGGTAGGAGTGGGAACTGAAATTTTTAAAAAATGGAGTAATTGTATGTAGGTGATAAGTCACTGAATTCTACTCCAGAAACCAATATTGCAGTGTCTGTTAACCATGTCAAATTTAAGTAAAAAGAAAATAAATAAATAAAAGTAAACAAATAAGCAAACACCAAGATCTGGGCATTAGGTGTGCTGGTTCCTACTGGGGTATTGCTTCTTTTAGGTGTTATTCTCTCAGCTGACAGACCAAATATATGAGTGTATAGTAACCTGTGTAAATACATGTAACTACAAATATTCCCTGTATGTAACCATCTGTATCAATATCAAGAGAAACCGGAGTTCTTACTGATGATCCAATACTAATCCTTACCATGTGGATCATTCTAGTCTCCTGCGCTTGTTTATCTGTAACTTACCCTCCAACAGTGAGAAACATGCCTCCCACCATCTGCCACCATTTACTTCATAAAGTCCAGTATACATGCATAGTGGCGTCAGAACTGTTAACCTGTCCCCCTGTGGGAAGCCACTTTTATAACTACAGTATGGTACTCATGTGCAGTTCCTTTTGCCTCTAGTCTTACAGGCTTGATTGTCATAATGCCAGTTATGCAAGTAAAATCTGTTTATTACCTAAAAAAATACAATACAATACAATACAATTAAATTAAAAATGGAGTAATTCATGTGAAAGCAGTCTATACAAGTATGAGCTGGTCTTTATTATTAAACCATACTGTCCAGATGTTGTGACAAAATATCTGTTTTCCTAGCAAGCCCTTCCTTTCTCAATCCACCTCCGTTCACAGAGAAGCCAGGCCCTGGCCAGGAAGGGGCTATCATGGCTGCACCAAGATCTGTGGTAACTAGTTACAAAGGAATGTTTTGCTCAGACCAGCTTTTTCAACCACTGTACGTCCCCTGGATAGGAAGAGGGAATTGATAAAAGTCTTGACACAATCAAGAGGAAAAATCTTTAGCTGGGAGGAATCTGAGATGAACACCAAGAAAGTTTTAAAGTACAAACACTAACTGTACTTACTGTAGGGGGACAAAGAGGGGGCTTCCAGGCTAACTTATCATGCTTCACTTTGGATATTAGAAGGGATGTAAAAACCACTTACATCTATCACTTCTTGGCTAGCCAACTTCCAAAAGCCACCTCAGCATTGCCTTCCCTCACTTAAAATTTGAGGTATAAGCCATGCGCCAGGGTCACTGACTGCTCGTGGAGGTTTTCCGGGCATCAGTGACCTTGTGGAGCCTGGAGGAAACACATCTCAAGGCCCAGGTTGACAGCTGAACCTGAGGCTGGCCACAAAGAGGCTGGCAGGTTTTACTTCTGCTGGAAACGTCTCCTCTAGACTCTGTGAAGGCCATTTGGTTCAGGGAGACTATGAACTCCGGGCTAAGTATAATCTCTTCCTTGCCCTTAAACTAACCTCAGTACCTTCGTTTTCTTCAAATGCAGGGACTGAGGCTTGCTTAGGTGGAAATCAGGAAGCAAGCAAATGTCCTGGTCTCAGTCTTGCTACTGACAGAGTCGCTGGGCTTCCAAACTCACCTCTCCTGCCTCAGCTTGCTAACCTGTGCTGTCAATGAAGCCTTCCCCTTTGGGGCACAGAGACACTACGGATCCTTTCCTGGAGGCTGCCGTACACCAGCACTGTGTGTCCCCTTTTATATTTAAAACGCGGCCTCCCGAGACTTCACGTTTTCAGGGATTGCCAAATAGAAGAAAACCAAAGCCACCGCTCTTCCTTCAAAACTTCTGCCGGCTGATTTTTTCAGAGGGCTGGATTCTGCCTCTGATGAGCTGCATTTCACAGACGACTGAACAGTGATTGTCTGGAGGGAACACGTCCGCTTAAGGGTAATTTACAAAGATGTGCAGACACATGCTTTCGCATGACATCCCATAAAAAGGCCCAATCGCTGTGGCTTGTCCTGTGGGCTAGTCATCAGCAAATCTAGGAACCAAATCCATGCTCTACTTAACTGGGAAGGGGACAAGAAAGCCAACCTGCCATGTGCCAAGCAGTGGGCTGCACGCTTTGCACACACAGGTTGTTTAATTAAACCGTTAACAGCTCCCTGATGCTGCGATCACTCCATTGTCCTGATAAGAAAACCAAGGCTCCTAGGGTAGGCTACCTGCCCAGTCATTGAGTGAAGTAACAGTGCCAGGACTCAGATTCATGTCTGTCTGTCTCGAAGGGCAAGCTCTGTCCACTTCCACTTGCTCGGGCGACCACAGGCCCTCCCGTCAACCAGGACTTCGCCATCCAGTGACCACTTACTGTACGTGCTTTCCTTTATGGCAAATTCCTTGAGTGGGGCTCCAAATTCACAGGGCAGGCGAAGGGAGAGAACTTTCTTCTGCATTTTGGTGGATTTACGAACCAGGAAGATCTGGCAGAGGGAAAAAAAAAAATTCAAGCTTAGGAAATATCTAGAAGGTGAGAAACTGGGCATAGGATTTCCTGCACACATGATGTCCATGACTAGAATGACCTTCATAACTAAACCACAAGGCTCAACCCGGGAATCTCAACAAGCAGGCCACAGCTGCCCTCCTTTGATACCTGGCTTCAAAAGAATCCTACTTTCCCTTTGACAGAAGCTTCTCCATGAGACTAATGCTCCCTCAGTCTGCAGACGCATTATCAGTTTGGTGATTGTTTTATAGCTCATGTTACGTGTTCACCAGCCCGTGTCTTATATGGGCATCATGCTGAAACCCAGATTCTAAACACGGGTAACATGGCTAAACCACAGGAGGTGAATTGGGAGTTCATTGGCTAATTTGGCTCATAGGTGTATTAATGAGAGAAAATTAAATTTGTGGGGCACCTGGGTGGTTCAGGCAGTTGAGCATCTGACTCTTAATTTCAGCTCTGGTCATGATCTCGGGGTTGTGGGATCAAGCCCTGTTTTGGGCTCCACGCTTAGTGGAGTCTGCTTCTCTCCCTCTCCCTCTGCCCCTCGCTGCACACTATCTCTCTCTCTCTCAAATAAATAGATAAATCTCAAAAAAAAAAAAAAAAAAAGAAAGAAAGAAAATTAAATTTGTTACCAAGAGTGAAAAAGCAGGTTTTTAAAATTAAAATCTGAGTTTCTAGCCTCTCCTGGAAAACAGGATGATATGGTAAGACCAGGTACGGTGACAACCGCTGGAGCTAAAAATGGCTGCCCCATTAGGGAGGTGGGGAGGTATGTCCTGAGGTTCACTGAAGCCAATCCTGGGGCTGCAGGTCCATTTACACCTGACTCGCCCCAATTTGTGACAATTTCCCTGCAGTTTCTAATACTGTCTTCAGACATGTGCGTTGAACCAACTCAACTCCCACTGCCCATCTTGGGCCACCATTCTGGCCTCTAACACTGCAGAGGCAAGTATGCCCTAAACCGCTATGCACTGCACAACTCCAGGGGGCACCAATTACCTGGGCTACAAATCAAATGGTGCCCCCAACAGTGTGCAGTGGGACAGCCTGGCTGAGTTCTGGTTCCCTTCCGGATTAAGTACATGATCCTTCTCCAAGGATCCTGTCTGTCTTATTTCTCTAACCACTTCTCCTCTTCTCTCTGCATTTGGACACCATGCTCTCTGCTCCCTTACTCTTACTATTTCACCTAATCTTCACTTCCCTCCATATGTCCGGTCAATAGCTCCTAAGAAACTTCTTCTGGGTGGAGGGTGGTAGGGTGGTTATGGGGATTGGGTGTCTGCTGAGAGGGAATTAGGAAGACCTTTGAGTTCTCTCTTCTCTCCCAGCACCCACGGGGAGGCAGCCATGGGATAGAATACATCTAATAGCCAGTTCTGGGAGTCATTGTTTCTGAGACACCCTAAAACTGAAACAGATATTTCCTAAACACTATCCCAATGGGTACAAAAGCCCAAAGCACTGCTGGGAGCCAGCTGTTGGTTGGTGGAGTAGAAGTATTATTCCCCTGTGCAGGTGGGGATCTCTTAAACCTTGGGGGTCAGGGAGAGTATAACCTTATTTCCTGAATGTCTGAAGCTTTAGAACAGGGTTTGGTAAAGTTGGGCCTGTGGACCAAATCTATCCTGCTGCCTGTTTTTATAAATAAAGCTTTATTGAAACAAAGTCACACTCATTCATTTACATGCTGTCTATGGTTGCATTTTCACTACAAGGTGGAGCTGAGAGGTTCTTTTTTTTTTTTTTTTAAAGATTTTATTTATTTATTTGATAGAGCGAGAGAGCACACGCAGGGGGAACAGTAGAGGGAGAGGGAGAAGCAGGCTCCCCGCCAAGCAGGGAGCCCGATGTGGGGCTCGATCCCAGGACCCTGGGATCATGACCTGAGCCGAAGGCAGACGCTTAACCAACTGAGCCCCCCAGGCATCCCCAGAGCCAAAAATATTTACACTTTGGCCTTTTACAGAAAGTTAGCCGATTCCTGTCCTAAGATGTAGATGAAATAGGGATGGTGGCGCCCCAAGGACCCATGATACCACGGCTGGACTTTCAAATCTTCCTTCCTCTCACACCTGCTTTTCCTTCTCTTCAGCGTTCTTGCTTCTGATGCACTCTGGCCTCTCCTGATCCATGCTGCTCCTGTCCTCCGCCTGCCCTCCGCCTGCCCTCAGCTTGCCCTATCTCGTCAGACAGGTCCTGTCCAGGGATCAAGGAGGTAGACAGACAGAACATTCCACCTGACTTGTTCCCCACAGGTCTCAGCAGGAATGGATGTGCCCCACGCTGGGAGGGAAGCTGAGCAGGGAAGGGAACTGTTGCCTAGCAACAGGGCAACCTCCCTCTTCAGAACTTTTGTGCAGAAATGCAGGAACAGACAACTCAACCTCCAAAAAGAAGGGGCCCCACAGACGTGGGTCCTGATCACACAGACCCAGACCAGAGGCAGCGACCTGGCATGCTGGCCAAGGAATTTTCCACAAAGATGATCAAATATTGCACCTAATCACCCTGAGCATGTTCCAACAGAAGTCTCAGTCCTGTCTGTTTCTGTCAGATGAGAAACAAAGACCCACTTATAAGTCAAAAAGTGATAATGGAGAGGCTCTGGCTGTTAGGAAACCCAAAGTTTATTTTTGAGCCCAACTGCTACAACCATTCTCAGCCAGCTATGATGGAGTTTGTTTTTTCCCTTTATTTCCCTTGCTTCTCCATCTATTTCTTAGTTTCTATGTCTTGTCATGAGTTGTTCCAAGTCTTACTTTATCTGTGCTTTATTGTATTTATCCTTTTTTGGGAAGTAGATATGGTACGTAAGTGCTGTCCAACACAACCTTCTGTGTTGGAAACATTCTATATTCTGCACCATCCTATATGGTAGCCTCCAGCCATCTGTGGCTAGTGAGCACCTCAAATGTGGCTAGTGCAACTGAGGAACTGAATTTTTAATTTAATTTAATTAGTGCAAATTTAAATAGCCACACTGGGCAAGTGCCTACCATATCGAACAGCAAAGGACACCAATCACTGGATGACATTTTTTGAGGAACCTCTATAGAGTCAGGGAGTGGTCTTGATTAAGAGACTGGTGTTGTTGGGTAGATGGTAGCTGGACTGTGAGCCCTGTGTGAAACCACTGAGGAAACCCAAGAGAAACAGGATCATATCAGCAGCCAGAGCAGACAAGTCTATGGACGCAGAACTTTGGAACTTTTGAAGTACCAGGTTGGATGGCTGGGCACTGGCAGGGTTTCCAGCTTAGAATGAAAACAGCAGTGGCAACTGAGGACTCCACAACCAGGCTCATCCTCAGGGCTGAGGCCCAAGAAGTCAGCCAGGGCCTTCAGCCAGGGGCCCTCCTCATTACCCAGATGCCCTGTCGTCCTGCCCACTCCTGGACCTCCCTTGGTAACTGAGTCAATGAAGACAGAAAGATAAACCATGAAGGGCTCTTTTCCTCGGAGCTGCCTCCATACATCCCACAATCCCCCTTGCATTGTGACCCTGATGCACACTGGAAGCCATGCTCCCTACGGCCTAGGAAGAACTTTCTGGAACTCCAAGTCTTTCTCTTTAAAAAAGCGGAATTCTGTGAGATTCTGAGTCTCACCCCTGGAGGCTGGGACTGGAGGACTTCCGCTGCCTCCTCCTGACTCAGACTCAGCTGCAGCCAGATCGGGTGGGTGTGGAGAAGCCGGTCCAAAATGCTGAGCCTGTTGGAGAGGCTGTCATAGCCAGAGTCCCGCGGATAGGTCTTCACATCCTTTTCTTCGGAAAAGCCATCATCCTTGTGTCTTACCATGCTAGGAGAAAGAGAATTGGCAGGGGTCAAATGGCCGCAGCCCCATTTCTCTGACGAGGAGACCATCCTATAGTCTCCAGGCTAGAGCTGTCCTAGCCCATACTCCATCTTTCATCCCCACCTCGCTTGTCTTCCCCTCCAGCCTGAAAGCTTTCTGGGGGCAGAAGCCATATTAGTTCTCACTCCATATCTATACTATTAAACAGAATATTTGACAGACCCAACAGACCTTCTATTTCTAACCCAGTTTTCAGAAGGTTCTAAACATCCTGAATGCTGTTGAGTCTGTCTTCTGGCATTAAACCATTTCACCATTTGAGCACAGAACCCTAAATGCTACGTTCCATATGGCAGCATGAGGTCCTATGGCTCAAAAGCATATATCATAAGCACAACCATGGCATGCTCTAAAAGCAAAAACAAAACATTCACACTCACTCGTGCACACTCATTTTTGTACCCGAATGAACTGGATTTCATTTCTTTTCACACATCTAGGCATTTTTATTACTAATATTATTTGTAATGAAATCTTACAGTTGAATAATGCTGTGCTATTTATAAAATCATACTAACATAAGTTCATTATTGCCATAAAGTGGAAACAGCCCAAATTTCCATCACCTAATGAATGGGTAAATAAAATGTGGTCTATCCATTCAATGGAATTTTATTCAGTCATAATATTCATTCATTCTTTTTATGAATGGAGTACTGATGCATGCTCCAAAATGGGATGAACCGTGAAGACTTCATGCTAAGTGGAAGCAGCTAGAGACAAATATTGTGTGATTCCACTTACACAAAATATCTGGACTAGACACAAATAGAGAAAACAGAAAGATTAGTGGTTGCTTGGGACTGGGGGCGGGGGCGGGATGGGCAGTGGTTGCTAATCAGTGTGGAATTCCTTTTTGAGGTAAAGAACATGTTCTGGATCCAGACGTGTTGATGGCTGTACGACTTTGTGAACGTGCTGAAAATCACTGAATTATACACTTTAAGGTATGATCTGTGAATGAAATCTCAGCTAAAAAAATATCATATTGATTTCCATAGTTGTCTTTGGGTGCCAACGCTAATCCTGTGACTGAGTATGTAATCCCCATTTTACAAATGAGAAAACTGAGGCCCAAGAAGGTATTGGGCTGTCCAGAATTATAAACACCCATGAAATGGAAGAGCTAGAAATTCAAGAGGTCTGGTGTTCCTCCAACTTTGCAGGTAACAAGTAAGATCATGAACACAGGAGAGCTTATAACAATGTGGGGTCTACTATGTGCCAGGCCCTTTGCAAACATTCTATCATTTCCTTTAAAACAGCCCCCAAAGGCAAGTACCAGGAATCCAGCATTAAAAAAGGGGAGGCGGGGGGGACAGGGAAGCCCAGACTGCTTGAGTAACTGCTCAAAGCAAGGATATGCCTCTGGTGAGAGTGAGTAGGTGGGAATTCCAATCCAAGGGCGCCTGGCTCTGGTGTCTCTTTCCCTCTACCACGCCCTGACTCTCAATGAGCTGGTCATCAACACTGGTCCTGGAGTGGCCAGTGAAAAATAATAGACTTGATCATTCACATTTGAAGGGGCAAGTTCAGGTTAGGGTTCAAATGGTCTTCAAACATCTAAACCCAAAGAAACCCAAATGTGTGGCCTGAATGAAGTTTTCAACATTGTGAATTATGAGGATAAAGCCAAATGGTAGGCAAGAGTGGGAAAATGTTAAAAAAAAAAAAAAAGTGTGCTCTTCCCATGTGGACCACTCCACTCCTAAGAGGTGGGACTGACTACAGAAGAAGCCAACCTAAGGCAATCATTTTCGGGTAAGCAGGCTCAGTATCAATACCCACAAGGATAGTGCACTGGCTGGCCAGACCCCCATCCTAATGTCTTCCCTGCACATTCTTGACTTTCTGCAGATCTGAAGAATCTCATGCTTCCATTCAAGATTTACATTTTGTTTCCCCTTAAAGTTTTCCTTTACCTTTGCTACAACTTTCCAGATGGGAGAGTCTGTGCCAAAAAAGAGCAATTTCTCATTCTGCAAATGCCATCCCAGGGCCTCCAGGTATTTTGAAGTGAATCTTTGCAGCTATAAGAAGGCACTCTTCAAAATGAAGTGGCATTAAAATTCCTTTCACATGAGGTAAACGGAGGCAACTTTAGAGCAGTGATTCTCAATGCTGGCTGCCTATAAAATTGCCTGGAGCTTAAACATGTTTTGATGGCCAGACTGCACCCCAGATCAAATAAATCAGACACTTTGGGGTGGAACACAGGCATCAGAATTTTAAAAATTTCCCCAGGCAATTCCAACTTGCCGCCAAGTTTACAACCACTGCACTGGATTGGCGCTTGAGCCTAAGAGAGAAATCTCCTGGGGTTTGTTAAGCTACAGATTCCTGGTTTCAGCCCCAGAGGGTCTGATTCCACAGCCCTGGGGTGGGGCTCTGCATTTCTAACAAGCTCCAGGAGATGCTGATGCTGCAGTCTGAGGAGCATTTGCTTGAGATCTAAGAGCAAAATGTGCACTGGAACCCAGAACCAGTGAGGTGGGGTGGTTTTTTCTTTTGGGGGGTGGTGAGGATGGTGGTAACATGCCCCTGAAAGAATTCTCCAAACCTAAGTAAACCCTCCATCCCTGCCATCTCAGGCTGGTGATATTTTACCATGAGCAAATTCTACCATCTCTAACATGGCAATCCTAACACTCATGTGTGCGGTGACTAAATATGTGGATGCTTCTTCCTTCCTTAGAAGGGCACATCCTGTGACAACTCAGTTGTTCAAGAGGTCTTTGTCCTCACAACCAACCTCAGCCTAAAAAGCCCGGGTCCAGACAGGAAGACAGTGAATAAGATTCATGGGGCTTCATCAAGGAGCAACCATAAATTAGATCTTGTCTTTGCAAATGACTAAGCTAACACCTTTCTTTCACCCTCCGACATTTGGGGTTTATAGTGTATTATCATAAGATAGACTGAAAGAAAGAATGAAAAAAGACCGATTGGCTTTTATCAGAGACAACCTTCAGGAAAGAACTAATGAGGGAAATGAATCTGTATTGGACGCTGTTGGTGCGCTGCCCAGTTCCCCTTTACCAGCCTGGGGACCTATGCCCCCACTGTGGTGGGTGCTGGCTGCCCCCTTGTCCTGGTCATACCTGGAAAAGTATACATGCTCCCCTGGGATCTGATGCACTAATGACATACTGATACAGGGCGTAGAGGAATGGCCTTTTTGCCTGGAGGCAAGACAACCCCGGGGTGCTCTTCATGTGGCAGAGCTACCTGCGGCATCAGGCTGAGGTTACCCTCCAGTGGCCCCCGTATCTCTGCCTGGTTTCCTACTCATCCCAGACAGCCCTGCTCACTCCTTCACAGGCTGCTCCTGAGACCCTATCTCAGTAAATCACGGCACAGGAATCTGCACCTTGGGCTCTGCTTCTAGGAATTCAACCTACAACAGAAGCTGCTGAGATTAATAGAAACTAGTGATTCTTAAAACAGATGTCTGCCTGCACATATGGGGGGGGCAAAGAATGAGTGGTTTATAAAAGATAAATCGCTGTGATATAATTCAGGAGATTCTAATGATGACATGGTCACGGTCAGCCACCCGGCACATGAGACCCACCTCCCCTTTTGAGCTTTGTCTCTCTAATCAGCAAGTGGTAAATAACATCTCCGGCACAGTGTAGAACTGATATAAGCCATAATCCTGGGTGGGCGTTAACATCAGCACATGAAAGATTGTTAGGGAACAGAACATTCAGTCTTCAAATATCTGCCCGCAGATTACTTTTCATGAAGAGGAAAGGTACCCCGACAATGCAGAAATCTTGAGACACCAACTTTTCTTTTTTTTAAAGATTTTATTTATTTATTTGAGAGAGAGTGAGCTAGAGACAGAGGAGAGGGAGAAGCAGATGCCCCGCTGAGCAGGGAGCCTGACGCAGCGTTCGACCCCAGGACCCTGAGGATCACGCCCTGAGCCGAAGGCAGACGCTTAACTGACTGAGCCACCCAGGCGCCCCTGTGAGACACCATCTGAATAAGCCATCAGCATTAACTTCTCCAATAATCAGGCACCTGACATCATGTCCCCCCGATATAATGCTCTGAGAATGTTATAATAACATCTAGTTCATCCTCCTGCCCCAAAACATGTTTAACTTGAATCTACACAAGAAAAAACAACCAGACAAATCCAAATTCAGGGACTTCCTGCAAAACCACTGGCCTGAACTCTTCAAATTATCAATGTCACGAAAAATTTTTAAAAGGCTGTGGGATTATTATAGATAAAAGGAGAATAAAGAGACATAAGAGAGATAACTCTATTGAGTGCACAGAATTGATAACATATGGCATCAGAATAAAAAATAGCTATAAAGGACAATTGGGGATATTTGAATAAGGGTGTATAACAGATATACTGTATTAATGTTTAATAATTTCCTGAGTGTGATACTGTTATTTATGTAGGAAAATGCTCTTGTTCTTAAGAGATGCAAACTGAAGAATTTAGGGTCAAAGCGTGAAAATGTTGGAAAGTAAATGTCAAATGGTCAGCCTCCCATTCCCCTCCATAAAAAGGGGGAGAGGAATATAGAGGTAAAGGAAATGTGACAAAACTTCCAACGATTGGTGAATTTAGGTGAACAGTACTATTCTTAACTTTCCTATAATGTTTGAAATTTCTCAAAATAATACGTTGGGGAAAATATCTACCATCTCCCTGGGTTTATGAGTATGAAATTTCCAAGCATCTAGGCCTGCTTTCATGGGGAGATAAAGCTCAGGTATGGATTCAGTGAGACCCACACCCACATGTGAAAATACTGGGCAAACCACAGAATGCCCAACCAATGTGCCTCTAGGAGCAGAGAACAAACTCTGGGCACCTCAGATACTGTATCTGGCCTCATTCCAATGGACCACGGCCTCACGCCTCTGAAACAGTGGGGGACAGTCCTCTCCAGCAACAGCTACATTCTGGTCAC